CTTTCGTAATGGGAATAATTTCTCCCAATGTATCTAGTTTTTTTAAAATCCCATTTTCATATATCTGCTTTTCTTCAAAGGGGGCCACAACTATCTAAATATACAACGGCATTTGCATATTGATTTTAATAGCAGTCCTCTCAGGGATGTTTAACCCTAGGTTCCTTGCAATTGTGTTAGTGCTCCGCTGTTCATATTTTTAAAAATCAATACAGTACACCCAGAGATTTCCAAATAGGAATCAAAGAATCTGTTACTCCCCTTGCAGCCCTGTGCCCCCACACAAACAGTCCACACAAGAGTCAGGAAGCCGCACAGAATTCTCTGAATTCTTGAGGCAGTTAAGTCTCAAAGTCTTTACTATTTTCCTTTCTTTAGTTGCTCCCCCCGCCGCCCCTTCGCCCCCCAGTCTGGAGGGTCAAGGGATGGGGCTCTGGGTCAGCTGGGGCCAGGCGGGGCACAGGGTCTCTCAGACATATTCTGATGACAGCCCACAGGCAGGCAGAAGCTTAGGTTCACAACAAAATGCCAGCCAGGTCTCTCCATCTGACAGAACTGTGAATCACTGCTTCCTGGAATGAGGCAAGCCCAGGTGCTTTTATAAATAAAACCAGATGAATGGAACAGACCAAAACAGCCCCTTGTCCTTCCCAGAAAATGCTGTCACTATTGCACCATATTGCATCAAACCAAAGAACTGCTGAATCAGTGTGACGAGATGGGTGGTAAGCTATTGCTAATTCAGGGAAAAGGCACCTGCCTACCCCAAAGCCCAGTGCTTAGACGGCCATGGTGCCAAGTGAGGACACTGCATGTGTACAAGAGGTGACCAGGGCAAGAGCCCACTTCTCATGCATTAGAACCAGAACTTCTTTCCCTTCCAACTTTCTGGCCAAGGATGTTGCTTTCTGACTGAAACAAGCAACTCTAGCTCTTTCCAGCTTACAACATCTTGAAGATGGACACAAGTGATAGAAAAAGCACACACAGCTCAGATACTTTGATCACTTCTGCCAGAAAACCAGCTTAACCCCTGAATCCCCTTAACCCAAGGAAGTGTCCTTTTCCTGTCATCTGGCTGCTAAAGAGAAGGCTTGGGAGGAAGGCATTCTCGCAGATGTCTACAGACACATTTATCCTCACCTGAAGCCACAATACTCCCTCTACACCCAGGATGCCTTGGGCAGAGAGGGTGCTGGGTGGAAGGGCCAGGCGCGGGCCAGCCGCAGTGTTCAGCTAGAGCTGGCCCTGCCTGTGTCATACCGTCCCTCTCAGGGCGTGCTCCATGTGGGCACAGCCGAGTTGCCGCGTGGCAGGCTGCCTGGCTGGCTGGGAACAGGGCCACGTTCAAAAGGTGTGTCTGGAGCAGGATAACATTTCACGAAGTGGCTCCTTTGCCTAAAGACTATTTGTGTTGAGGGAGAGGGACGGAAGGGAATTTATGATTGCTTCACACTTGGGACTGGGCAGCTCTCACTCTCTCTTAACTGATTTGTCATCTCCCTCTGAGCACAAGACAAGGGTAAGGATCCAGGAGAAAAAGCTCAGGTCTTGGCGTCAAGAGGCCGGGCTAGGAAGGCTAGGAAGGCCATCCTACCCCACAGCTACTCCCTGCTCCTGGCTCTCTGAGGAGGCAGAAAGATGTCAGGGAGACACGAAGAGGCCGTGGAGGGCTGGGGCTCTATTTCCAGAGAAGGAATTCAATTTCCTTAAGGCAGTCAGTCTGGTAGGATGTTATCTGTCCTGCACTGACTCTACCAAGCCTGTTCTGAGAATCTGGCAGTGCAGGACCATGGTATTTGGGCTTAGATCACATTCTTTCTCTCTTTACCTCTATCAGGAATCAATAGCTGTTTTCACACTCTATGATAATCACGGAACTACAAACTAGTAATTCACCTTCTACCCAAATGAACTATATAAAATGACAAAAGGTCAGTTTTTAAAAATAAGAAACCTGAAAAAGATGAAGTTAGCTGTTCAGAAATTAAATACTACTCATTATCCTTAGAGAATAAATCCTAATTATGTTTTTGAACACAGTCAGTCAATTGTGCATTGGTTTGTCTAAGTGATCTGACAGCGTGCTCCCTGGTGCAGGGGCCAATCTGGGAAGAGATTGAGAACATAAGGTAACATCCACTCCTACAGGCTTTCTCCTAAATCAGATTTATTTCAGTGAAATTGGCTTTAGATAACAAAGGGAAAGAATTCCTGTTTAATTGTGATCAGGCTCAGTATTCAGCTGAGGTCAAATCTGGGGAAATCCTGAGAAAAGTACAACAGAGGGAACCGCAATTCCGTTCTGGGCTCTGGCGTCCATTATTTTGTGTCTTGGATGACTTAAGTCTTTTTTTGCCTTAATCTCTCAATCTGGAAAATGAGGTCATTTTCACCCGCTTTGTGAAAAAGCATCTTGGCAGTCTTTGATTCTAGGCACTGATCGAGAAAGGAGCCAAAAGCCAAAGCAAACCCCAAAGGAGCTGAGTTCATAGCATGTCCTGTTACATCCCCACTGGCCTGTGGCCCCACAAATACACTTGGTATGTATGATCCCCCTGAAAAACCGCAATTGCCTGAGGGACAGGACCACTTCTTCTATTTCTTTCGTATTTCTTTTCCTATAACCATTTGTTCCAAAAGTAGACCTATGCCACAGAGATACCAAACGTGGCTGTCCGCTTCTTCTGATTAATGTGGAAAGGAAATGACGCCAATCCCCATGCTTGAAAAATGCTTCATAGATTCAAAGCGAATGCACATTCACCTGATATTCATGGTGGCTAAGTGGGGGCGTTATCCCCACTTTTAGATGAAGAAGCTAACGTCTACAAACTAGTAATTAAAACAATTTACCTGCACGCAACCTAACCGAAACTTGTACATGATTATTTCTATTCTAGATCCACTCTCGTGTTCCCGACCTGCCCTGGGCCAGAGCCTGCTTCCCATTTAGCAGACTAAGGATTCTTTCTCTAGTGCCATTTTGGTCAAGGTTAAATAAATATGGTTTTCTTCAATGCGGAGAGGAAATTGATAATGAGATGATTTGTAACAAATGATTAAACGGCCATCACTTGGGAATCTCCTCCCTCTCCCCTTCCTGTATTTCAAAAGTTAAAAGGTGCTGGGTGAAGGTGGGAACGATATTACTTTCCTTCAAGAGAAAGAAGCTTCAGCCCCACACCCCTCACCATCCAGTGGTTCTGCAAACAGATGTCAGAGAGGATCCCTCTTCCTACCACCCAGTTACTCTGAAGGGATGATAACAGCCATTGGGGGGTTAAAAAGAGGCAGTGAACCCCCAGTTAATGAGTAGGAATTCAGCAGGCAGTGTAAGATAAATGGAGCTCTCTCTGCTTCTGCTAGAGTCAGCATGAACTGCGGCCCTGCGGCTTGTTTGTGGCAAATGGAGTGCGCGAAATATCAAAGGGCAGTGATCCAGAAGAAGACCGACTTTGACAAATTTTAAATTGGCCAGAAAGAAAACCAGCAAAAAAGAAAAAAAAAAAAAAAAAAGAAGAAAAAAAGAAAAAAAAAAAGGAGAGAAAATTACACAATGCACTGTGTCCTGCAATTGTGGTACTGCTGCCTTTGTACAGAATTAGTGGTAAAAACAGCAGCGACGACTGCCTGATGCTGGGAGCAATTATGAGCCATCTAAGTGAGATGCTTATCAGTGGCTGAAGCTTTTAGAGCTCTCTCTCTATACAGTTGTGAGTAACTTGCTCTTGAGCTGCAGTTACTTTAATTAAAGTGTATAGTGTTGGTCAGAAGTAATTATCCTGTTTGGAGAAGAAAGAGAAAAATACCACCTCAACAATTCTGGGTGGCAATAGATTTTAGAAACAGCTTTGCCAATTCTTGTTGTATGTGTGCACTTCCCATAAAAGGATCAGGCCGAGATGGGCTAGAGTTATTGACAGTTGTTACCTGATGGCAAACAATGGGACGCACACAGGGTTTATTAGAACCCCAGTCACTGGGTTTAGCTCAGGGCTCCAAACTGCCAGGATGCGCAGTCTCTCGAGCGCACACAAGCACTCGCAAGGTTGTGTCTCTAGATGATGAGCATATAAAGAGTCCACAAATGGTGTTTTATTAATTTACTATTTGAAACATAAATGAACTAGCATCTCTCTTTTTTATGCCTTCCATTCATGAAGTTTCACTACCTTTTAAAGACAATCACTGTGTTCCTTTAGGAAAACAAAACCAAAACAAACCAACAAATAAAAGAACCTCAAGCAATTATCTTCGCCAACATAGCAAGGGGGCTCGATGGGAGATCTGGGCAGAAAGATGTGTTTTAAACGGATCTGAAACTCATTCGGTCTCTGGACTCAACACAGGGCTCCCAGGGTTCAGTCCTATGTGCAAACTGCAGCACCTTCCAAAAGCTCCAAAAACAAATGAGCAACAGAGTAGTGGCTGGAAGCATCACGCTCAAATGTTCCCGGGCCTGGACGACTGCTGCCACGGCCTCTGTGTGGAAGCACACAGTGCACAGTCTTTACTTCTGTTTCTCTAGCTCAGGATGGCCCCAGAACACCACCCTGGGTAGGTCTCCAACCTCTCTGTCCCGTGACACTGACTCTCAGTGTCTCAGAAATGAGGCGGGCTTGTCCAAAGACACAGACAGAAACAGGACATTGAAGCCTCGCATGTTCTCTGCCTGATCAGCCTGCCCCTCAACAGCAACTTCTAGCTAATCATTCTTTACAAGGACACCCACAAGTCCAGAAAGATGGGCTTTGTGAATTATAAGAAAATACCAGAAGAAAACTTGGGTGACTTTTGCTTTTTTTAAGGTCCCACTTGCCCTCCTATTACATACACTATTTCATTCTACCAGGGCTCTTACCATACAGAGAATAGTAAATAAAGATTATCATGAATTTGATCAAATGCTTCAGTGCTTCCTCCCCTGGCCTATGAATGCACTCATTACAAATCAGCTGAATGGCTCATTGATTTGCCAGGAGGACAAGCAGACATACCCAATCGCTCAGCCAAGCGAATGTAGACGGGGTCCACCCGACGCATGGTTTTCACCAGATCCTTTCTGCGGAATTTGATTTCTACTGTCCCCTCTGGCTCCAGAACTGATCCCCTGGATCAGAGAGAAACAAAACAGAAATAGAGGCACTTTAAAGGAAGGAGACAACAGAATGAGGCCGGTTACAATTTGCAGACCAGGAAATAGCTTCATTATGGTTTTGGCCACCCATGGCTCACAGAAGTAACCCCAGGGAGGGGAGCAGGCATCAGAAAGTGTCTAAGTGGGGTGTGAAGGCCAGGCAAAAAGCAATTAAAATAATTCTCATTACCACCACGCCAGTCTACTTCCATCTCAAAAGAGGAATACAGATTCCACCATCTACAATGGTGCAATGAGGGGTCGACGCCAAGCGGTCCCGCACACAGCCGTCAGTCGCTGGTGGGACTCCCACACGCTAGGCCAGGCCAAGCAGGGGAGAAAACACTCTGCCTACCGCTATGGGGAGGTCTCAGGGTTATTTCTAGTTTCTAGTGCATACTAATGATGTTCTAGTACCAGGAACTTTACCCTGGACAACTTAAAAAACAACAGCCATGTTTTACATTAAAAAAAAATTATAGCTAATACTTCCTATATACATGGCACTGTTCTAAGTGCTTACATATAAAGCTTCATAGCAATCCTATACCCAGTCTGCATCCCCTATGAGGGAAGGAACTATTATCCCCCATCTTGCCGATGAGGAAGCTAAGGTCCAGGGCATTAAGAGACTTGTCCAAGCCTAACAAGTGACAGGGCTGCATCTGAAACCAGGTGGTCTTGTTCCACAGTCTGCAGAGGAATTGTCTGTGATCTGCTATCAGATCAGGGACTAGATTTGGATTTAAAAATAGTAAGTCCCTCAGTACAGACTGCTAGCCTACTGATTTTGCAATAAAACTACGGGGCTCACCCAAGCAGCTGTTGAAGAAGGAAGCTAAAATCTTGGGGAAAGAGAGAAACAGGTGGGGAGCCTGGGTGGCTCAGTCATTAAGCGTCTGCCTTCGGCTCAGGTCATGATCTCAGGGTCCTGGGATGGATCCCCGCATTGGACTCCCTGCTCAGCAGAAGCCTACTTCTCCCTCTCCCACTCCCCCTGCTTGTGTTCCCTCTCTCGCTGTGTCTCTATCAAATAAATAAATAAACTCTTAAAAAGAGAGAGAGAGAGAGAGAGAGAAACAGGTACTCTAGTAGAATGATCGGAGGCAGGAATTGGCATGGGCAATGTCAAGGAAACACAATGTGAAATTTACCTATTTTGGAAAGGGTTGAAAACAGATTATGAAAGGAAGCTGCATGTGGTCTGTTTTACTTAAGTATTTTCAAGGACCACCTCCTGACAAAAGCCTGGGACATTCTCTTATGGTTCTCTGGGTGCCGTGAGCACGGTGTTCTCCAAGCCTCCCAGAATGCCAGAGTGAGCAGCTCCGGCTTGGAATCAGAGAATGCGGGGGCTGCTCAGTGACCTCAGTGACCAGCAGCTCGTCCCACAAACAAGCAGCAGCAGCTCAAGGAGAGTAAGACTGCTCCAGGTTCCTCGCCAGCCAGTGGCAGAGCTGGGTGAAGACCCTAGAACTCCACAGACTAAGAATTTAGTCCTTCCACTCCAACTCGCCTTGAGCTCCCTCTGTCACACGTCTAAGAAAGGGAGAGCGAACAGGCCTATCTGCACAACAATCGAGAGAATCCCTCCAAGTTTCTCCCAGTGCCTGGAATAGAGGACGGACTTCTTGGTACAAGAATGTGGGCTGGGGGGTCACACTAGGAAAGCCTGACTCCCACCTGCTTTCCTTCTCATCCTAGCAGACACTATCTAGAAAATCTCTTTTTCTGACCTGGGAGTCCTCTGGGAATAGACAGATTCAAATAAAGATCTCTTGGTTCTAATGTTCTCCAGGAGGAAACCAACAGCTAGAGCACCCCTAGAGACAGTGAATGGAAATAAAGAAAGAATGCTACCTGCTCTCTCGGTCAGCGTACATCTCCATGTGCCGGGGGTTGATGGTGGGATCGATCACAACCCAGGAGCCCCCCCGGAGCTCAGCCTGAGGAGGAATGTATACCAGCACTGGCTGGGAGCACTCCCGTAAGCTATCCACGATGTAAGCACCGAACTTCAGCACTTGGTCGTACATATCTGTGAAGGAGACAAATCAGAAATCACGAAACAGTGCTTCCAAATATTGTTCACATCATGGCACACACAGAAAATAACACACTGTGCCTCCACGAGGAGGCTGCTCCTACCAGAGGCGACAGGTCTGGGGGTTCAGCCACCCCGGGTCCTGTCCGGCCACCCTGAAGACTGAGAGGATGGGTATTTCCACCTGTATTCTGTTCAAGACTCCAGGGGATCTTCAAAAGCACAAGAGAAGTGTACGGTCTTTCACAAGACACAATGTGCAAGCCCTGTGGATTGCCTATCCACTTTATAGCCTTTCTGAATTGCTGGATTCAGGTCTCATCACATTAATTCACATTTGCTCTACAAATGTTGAGTATTTTTCATGTCAATATGTGATCTCTCTCACTACATTAAGTTTTCTGAAGGAAGGAACGATTCAAGCTCTTTTCAAGTCTTCTCGTGCTACTTAGAATATGATAAGCTCTTAAAATGTGCAGCTAGTGGAAATGGAGCCTTCAAAAATTTTATCTTCAAAAACTGCATCTTTCCTCTTTGTATCCCCAGTGTCTTGTCCAGTGCCTCGAACACAGTTAGTGCACGATAAGCGTCTGCTGAAGGAATGGATGAGCACATACACACTTTGGAAAGAACATAACCAGAAAGAACAACAAATTCTTTAACAGTTGCATTTTTATCAGGGCATCAATGAGAGAAAAAACTTAAAATGCATATGTAGTTATTGGAAATATCACACAGCCACATAAAAAGAAGAGCTACCTCTTCATTCTGCTAAAGAGCACACTTTGTAATCCCCCCAAGGCCAGGAGCAGCCTGAAGAAAAGGTACCCTGGTGCATAAATAAAGCAAGTCCTTGGAAAGTAGGATCAGTTATTATTTGTTTCCCAACAATTTATGGACTTCTTCCCATCTCCTAGCTCCCTGAATTCTACACATGGCCAAAGTTTTAGGTTTATGATTCCAGATATTTAATGAGCACTTCAGTGGAACCACAATGGATCCTTTCTAAACACCAAATAACAGGTTCAACAGAGTTCAAACTTTCCTATCAAAGCAAGGATCTCAATTTGGAATAAATCAATTCTGGAAATCCAAAGCAAAGAAGCATTTTTCAGAAAGTTAAGAGCAAACCCAAATAGAAATTGCTTTCATTGTAGTTACTGGCAAATTAAACTGCCACCTTCTCCAAAGTAAAAATGGCTCTCTCTATACAAACCATCAGTGAGCACAGTTCACTGCAAAGTATATGTCTCTCTCCATTGCCGGGCCTGGCCACTCTGTGACAATTTCAGAAACTTCAAAAATTCAGAAGTTGCTCCAAGGAAAAACTCCCTACTCTATGAGAAATGTGTATGGTCACATACTCTGTATATATGATCAGAGCAAAGACATTTATTCCTTTGGGAGGAAAGCAAAGACCAAAAAAATTTACTGCTAATTACACAACTGTTGTATGAAGAGTGGGGAATAAAGGACTTTAAGCGCTTTACGCTAATTCTGTGGTTATGAAAATAATTGCTCAGCTCAAATTATTTTAACTAAATTAATTCTTTAGTGGATATTTCAACCAGTGCTACATAATAAAATAATTGTGTAATTAGCAGTACATTTTTCAGTGCTGCCAAGAGTACAGTCTCAGTCTCTGAACAAGTAACGGAGAGGAGTGGCCCTCGGTGGTCTCGTGCGGAGAGAAGAAATGGAAGGTGGATAGAAGGAGAAAGCGAAACAGCAGAAAATAGCACACACAGTCATCCTATGTGAAAGAGGAAAAAGTAAGGTAGAGGTAAATGAAGAGAGTTTGTCACTTCTGTTTGTTAAAGATCTACCTATATTAAAATCTGCCCGTACTACCTATGATGAACAGATCCAGCCCCCAGAAAGAAAGGAAGGACTGTATTTAAAATGTATGCCCACTTATTTAAGTTGTAAAAACTCAAGTTCATAGGATATGCAGTTTGTTTGGGAGGAAGCGGAGTGTGTGTGCAGTTTTTGAAATGAACTTTGGTCTCTCCTTTTCATCACCATGGCTAGTTTGTTGTGTACCACGGAGCATGATTTCATATACACACACATATGAATCATTTAATCATCAGAAAACCATGTTCTTACATCCATGTTATAGGTGAGTAAATTGAGGTAGTTAAATAAGTGAATAAATGGCAGAGGTAAAATTCGAACGCAGATCCTTAGGGCTCTGAAGTCCGCTTTCTGTGACCTCGTTCTTACTGGGAGGGAAGAGCATGAGGCTGAGGTAACCTGCTTTCCAGCATCTGACACAATGGCTGAGTAAAGCAAAAACCAGAAAAGAGACTGGAATAAATGAAGATTTGTAGATTTTGCCTGGATTTTTTGTTATGTTCAGAAAAGTCAGAAATTGTACGGATGACACTACCAGCTATGTGAAGGGCTTGGATCTGACTGCCGAGCAATTATCTTCAGGCCCCATGACGGTGAGTAACGAAGGGGTATCAGGCTTCATTAAAGCTGACAAGCTTGGGACTGAAAACAATGCCTCCCTCTAACCTGCAACACCAACAGACCCACAATCCAACCATCAAAACACCCAAAAAGCAACAAAGGCTATTAAAATGTGAACGGACACACACAAAACAAACCGTACAAACAACATGCTCACGATGAATCACAGCAGCCCCAAACCACACATTGTGAAAGGCAGGTTGAAGCACCTGGCAACAGTCTGACATACATTTGTCTGAAATCCCTTCGTTTCTGAGACAGAGCAAAAGCACAGCCAAGAGTAGCAGGGGAGAGTGTACTCCCAAGGGTTTAGGCTAGACATCAGTCTAGGGAATTTTAAAGCTATGCATATGCTGACTGTCAATTCTCAGGCCATGAGAAAAGCAACTGAGAATGGAAAATACTGATAGGTTCTTCAGTGGAAAGGCGGGGGCTTGGCACTTCCTAAGCACCGTGAGCAAAGCACATCTGCATATGATCACACAGCCTTTCCAGTGTGTTCTCAGCATCCAGGCACCAACCCTGCCTAGGGCCTTCATTGTTACACAACATGGATAAACTGTGACAGCCACGGTGCAGGGTGGTAGGGTGTTTCCACAGTGCCCCATTCTCTTGAAACTGGAACAGATCTTACTGGCTTGGGGCGAGATTATCTGTTAGAAGCTGAAGGTAAACATTGGACATACACAAGCTGCATATACATAATGTGTCTCATCAGTTCATTAGGGCCGGCTGACACAGTATTTCGACAACCAAGTAATCAGAGACTTTAAAATAGATTTCATTCCAGTTAAAGTTTCCAGTAAATGTTTTTTTATTGTTATTTATAACCTGTCCCAGGAAAAAATAATAAGTATAACATGAAAAGCCAACTGAGAGTGACCTGGTAGCACCAGCAGTGAGGCAGCTTAATATCACTGGGATTTGCATCCTATCAAGCTATTCATGCTGAGGCTGGGACCCTGGTGCTAATTTCTAGTAAATTTCACGCTTGATGTCTCCCTGTTGTGGGTCATTGCCGGTTCGTCTAAATAAACTGCTTCCAAATGGCTCTTCCATCTAAATATTCAGCCAGTTTTTATAATTTAATTTTGCATTATGCTGAATAGCCTTCCGGCCAGATAGAACTCACTGGGAAAAAAGCACCAATACCATCTTGACATACTTTTATTTATTTATTTATATTTTTACTGCTCGAATTAGACCTTCTAGGCTGACTAGTAAAGAGTTTTTTTTTTTTCCCTCCACTAATGTCAATTTTCAGCATAGCAAGAGCTGTCTCTAATCTTTTCCTACTCATTACACACAATTTTGGAGTCATTTTACCCACAGTGCAGTCGGCTCCTGGCTGTGTGTTTGTGTGCACTGAGGGATGGCATAATTGTTTATTTTCCCTCCCTGCATAATCCCCAGCCAGTACTGAAACCAAAACTGCAAACATCTCCCCAAGGGATATGGAATGACTCTCAGCTTAGGTCCCTTTACATGAGATAATATGTAGAAAACATCCTGACCTGTATGTAAATATGAAAGGCGATGTTCTTCCCCCTCCTACGTTCACACTGATCTCTCTCTTCCCTAAAGCTTATTTACCTTAAGTGATGTGTGAACGGATACAGCAGCACCAAAATTCAGAAGGCAGAACTGGCCCTGGTCTGTATCAGGCCAGTAACTCATTTTTGACCAAGGGCAGGGGAGAAGGGGGATGGGGGAAATTATTGTTTAATGAGTACAGATTTTATGTCAGGGATGATGAAAAGGTTTGGGGTATATTTAGTGCTGACGGTTACGTAACGCTGTGTATACATTTAATGCCACTGAATTGTACACTTACAGATGGTTAAAATAATAAATATTATGTGTATTTTGCTGCAATAAAAAAAATATACAACTCCTATCTGAACTCTTGAAATTTCTTGTCATAATAACCAAGGACAACTTCAAAGCAGAGGGCAGGTAGGTGGCTAATAACTTTCTCAGGAATCTACACAGTTTATTCTAGAGATGTTCTAGTAGAGCTGGCTTGGTCCTAGGCTCTAAACTCACCCAACTGTGCTACAGGAAGCCAGACAGATCTGCGTTCCTCTCCCAGCTCTGTCATTTTTTTAGCTAAACGATCTTGGGAAATCTACTTAACCTAAGTCTCAATGTATATAAAACACCGATAAATAATATAGCCTACCCCTTAGAAGTGCTTGTTGTGATGATTATGTACGATGACGCATGTAAAATGGTTAGCATGGTTTCTGGTGAAAGGAGCTCAACAAATCATAATTGTTGTTCTTACTGTTACACGGCTAGCAGCCAATCTGGGCCTGAGCCAGAACATGCAGCAGAGTTGAAGCTTTTCCTACAAGCAGCAAACTCCTGAACTCTGAACTCCTTAGGACAAATGAGCCAGGCTGGCTTACTCCTAAGTAATGTCAGGAAGAGTGAATTCTCAACGGCTCCTGGGAAGAGAGGTAACTAAGTCAGAGTACCGGCACCGCCTTATCTAAGTCTTAATGTAAATCTTTTTGTTGTTGTTGTTCTTTGTTTTTTTTTTTTTTTTTTAAGATTTTACTTATTTATTTGAGAGAGCAGAGTGAGAGAGAGAAAGAGAGAAAGAGAGAGCTCAAGTTGGGGGAAGGGGCAGCGAGAGAGGGAGAAGCAGACTCCCTGCTGAGCGGGAAGCCCAATGAGGGGCTCCATCCCTCCTGGCATCATGACCTGAGCCGAAGGCAGCCGCTTAACTGACTGAGTCACCCAGGTGCGCCATCTTAATGTAAATCTTACAGCCAAGAAATCTGGGATCAAGTGAAACTGGATGCTAAATAAACCTCAAACATATGAATGAAAGGGCTTTCAGGCTCCTCCCCCAGAAAAAACCACTTCAGTATAGTATCATACTCTTTTGAACACTGTAGTATTTTGTTCAAGACATTTTTCTTGACTCCTTGAGGCAATGTCTGTCTCTGATTCAGTTTTGTTTTCTCAGAAGTAGCTAGCAGAATTCCTTGCACATAGGAACTCAATAAAAATGTGCAGGATTGACTTGTTTAACTTATACTTTCAACATCGCACGGCATTTTCACTGATTTATTCTCTTCATCATAAAATAATTCACCTGAGAGTCTATAAAAGTATACAAACATTAATTTGCATGTACAGTCCAAGTCTCCCCCAAGAAAAGTGCAAAATGTAGTAGTTCTCCAGCAAATACGGGCAAAAGGGAACTTTACAGCTTAAAAAAAGAAAAGAAAAACCAGCCTAGTCTTCCATATTTCACCAAGGAAGCCTGGCCGTCCAGGGCTCTTCTGAGCCAGGTTAAGGGAAAGTTGTTGGCATGGGGCTCTAATCTCTCTTCACACACAGCTGATAATCTATAAAAGGGTAACTGTCTCAGGCTTTTCCTCCCTCAGAGGTAGAGATGCTCCTGCCCCAAGCTATTTCTGGGTTCACTGTTTCACATCTTATATGTCCTTCTCTCTCACCACTCTACTCCAGCATTGCCAACTCCTCCCTCCTTCCGTTCCCCTAACTCATTCTACTACTTCAGAACCCTGAGTTCTCCCCCAGTGAACAAAGTTGACTTTGACCAGTGTATTCATCCCCTCCTGGTAAGGAGTCTCTGGTCTCAGCATGGCCACGAATCTCTGGTCATTGGAGAGAGAACTTCGCTGCTACAAGAGGGAGAACGAGTTTCCTTTGGCTCTCTTGAACCATCCATGGTGGCTCTGCACAGGGAGGATTCTCAGTAAATGGTGATACTAGCTGCCTACATCACTAAGCGATTCCCATAGCACAGAACGGAGCCTGTATATTAATGGCCTGATACGCTGGAGCCACGGGCCCACCAGGGCTGTTGTTGGATAATAATAAAATACACCACAAATTACCACAAAGAACAGCTTCTGATACAGAATTTGTTCGTTTTCTTCTGGTGAAGGCTAATTTCGGTATCTACCTCAGGCATAATAGAGCATTCGAGCATAGCATCCACAGAGAATATGCCCAGAAAAGAGAGACAGAGGATAGCTAGCACAATCACAATTCCCCGGGACCATGAGAACAGTCTATCATTCACCTGTGAAAGCCAAATCCACAACAGCAGCCCATCTAGATCACACTAGTAGACTGTTCTGAAATTTTGTACAGAATTGAAAACCACACAGTATTTTCCCACTTAAGTTGCAACTCAGAAGATATATTTCAGAGAAAGTATAATCCCCAAAAAGCCTAGGGTGACGGGCTGTAAGGCTACCCATTGGTTCTGCCCAGTATAAACCCTCCCTCCCTGTGCTGTAAAGTTCTGGGGAAACAGTTACGCCCCCCCAGCCCAGAGCCAGGCCAATCACCTTTCATCCCACCAGAGAAGCCTCTCCAGTTCGCAAAGACCATCAGAGGCAGCCCTTCACGGTTGAAGTCCTTGATAGCCTGATAGGTCTTAAACGCAGAGTCTGGGAACCAAACCTGGCCAGCCTGCTGGATTATCTATTGGGGAAAGTCAAAAAGGAAGACACAGTTAACAACAGAGTTTGAGAGGGAATTTCTGCAAGGTGAACAAAGTTTTACTTGTTTACTTTAAAAACTCAAATAAACCAAACAAACAAAAACTGTTGTTGTTCATCAAGAGGATCATCTTTGAATTCAAAAAGAAGAAAGGATCCTGGATCTTTGACTTTGTTAAATATTCCTCTTTTTAAGTCCTGATTACACCACCACTCCTCAGTCAGAAGGAGGAAACCTTACTGCTTCTAATGGAAGAATGCCGTCTTGGGAATGAATCCTCACTGTAGGCTTCCTAAAGGCAATTTTAAGCCACTCAACTACACTAGTCCTCAAAACAAGCCAACTGTACATAGTTCCCAGTCCTCTCACTCTGTGCTTAGTACAAGCTTTCTCTGTACTATGGTTGGTCAACAGACACTTGATGTGACACTGATGAGTAACCTCTTCCCTGGCCTCTCCCACCCCTCATTTTCTGACTCTTGTCCGGATGTGAAAATATAATCTACCCTTTTAAAACAAAGATGAGTGGTGGTGTTCACATTTGCCATTAGGGCAGACTTCCTCTTAATTCTAGTAATAGCTCATCCATGTATGTGTTCAGAGAATCTGGGACCAAAGAGCCCTCAGCTGCCTTTCTGTAAGACCACCTCCCCAACGAACATAGACTGTTCTCTACTAGCATCAACAAGACGACTCTAAAGGCCTAAGTAACTTTTCAATTAGAATTTAGCTTGTAGTCCATTTAGAGTCATCTTAAAAGTGAGCACATGATGGTTTGCAATGCCCCCAGTATTTCCACAGGCTCTGCAGAAGGGAAAGCCAGCTCTGAGCACAAGAGCGCAGGGTACTTGAGGTTACTAACCTTGGCTTCAGAATCCAGGTTTGCAGGATCGGCTGGGATACTTAGTTCCACTGTTCGGGTTTCTACGGCAACTACCCCCACAGGTATTCCTCCTAGCCTGATAAAAATGAGCCAAAGAAGAACCCAAAGTATGTAAATAGTACAGTTAGTCATTTCTTTTCCAGCCCCATATCAAAAGATTGGAGTGTGTGTGTGGAGGGGGGGCTGGAAACTGCAAATACAGAGAACAGGGGGAAATCCGACTCTTCTAGGGGTAGAAGACTGCTCTCAGAATCACTCCTGTTCTCTACCACATTCAAACCAAGGGTTGAACTAGGCGAGCCTCAGCAGTTAGACCCAACAACAGTCTAGATGTGTGTGTGCACACATAGGCACGCACGCACACACCTTTTTCTGTGGATGCCAAATGAAATTTCTCAGCTCACTCTAGAGCATCTCTTTGGTGAAGACAGAGGGAAAAGGTCCGAAAGGGAGGAGGCACCTGAAATTTACACTGGGCCATACAATGAATCCCATATACCCAATACCTATCTTCAATAATCAACCCCTGGCCAGTCTTGTTCCATCTTCATTTCTATCTAGTTTCTCCTCCATGAGTCCCATGTTACTTTGAAGCAAATATTAAATGTATAATTTTGTCTATAAATATTTCAGTATCTGAAAGATAAAGACCACTATACTATTACCACAACAATAGTTTTATTTTAATAAAAAGTCCAGAGTATTTTTTTGGGGGGGTGGGATGTGCAGCTGTGTTATGGAAATGATGAAAAATACGTGCCAAGTGTACAGAGGTGGTTAAATAAGCCCTGAACTTTCTCTTTCACTGGAAAAGAGCAGTGGCACAGGGATAACTTGCAGCCATTACTCTTGGTGAAATAGGCGATCTATATTGAAAGTATGCATTTCATCTCCAACATATGTTAATTTAAAAAAACTCTTCAGAAGCTCAAAGCCTCTGCATCTAGGCTGCATGATACCCTCTCAACTTCGTCCTCCAAAGATGTCCTGGTATAAAAAGCAGGAAGAAAGAGAGGGTGAGTGAAAGTGGGGGGAGGGGTGGCAGTTGCTGCAGGTACAGGATGAGTCCTTACTCTGGAAAATGTGATTCAATCTTCACTTTCTCAGCTGCATTCCTTGGGGCTGAGGCTGGGATGGGTTATAGTCTCTCATTCCCCCAGCATCTCCATAACAAACTTTTCCATGAAGGATGGTCTTTGGTTGTTACAGTGGCTACTGAAAATGGATTCTTGTCATCACAAGAGGCCTGACAGGGGCCTGAGTGGGGACCACCCACCCCCTTGTCACTTGCCTGCACTGAATCAGAATCAAAAGCCCTCTAGACAACCAGACAACGAGCAGGAGGTACACAGGAGGGTTTAGAAATATTTCTGTTCACAATGATTAACAATCCAACTGGAAACTTGTAATTGCAAAAGCCACCCTAAATCGGTAACTTATAACTTATATATTAGGGCCCATGTGACCTAATAAAGAACATCTTTATCCGAGTATTACAGTTATTTATTGAACTTGAAAACAGCTCAGAACAACTTCTGTTTTCTATTATACTTCATATAAATTTTATCAGGCTAGCACATGAAGATGCTACATCTTGTTTTATAGTGTGTCCCTGGACAAGGTGCCATGGAATAATAAAAGACAATTTACAGCCAATAGCACACATATTCCAAACATACATACCAAAGATGAGTTTTGGCAGCACTTACAGTAACAATCCCAGAAGAATACATTTATATTTATTTCTCGAAATGCCATTGCTTTTGAAAGAAGCTAGCTCCATTTATGTTTTATATACTTGTGAGCATGTGTATGTGTTTGGAGTAAGAAGCCCAGAACTCATCAGATGGAAAGAAAGGAAGAAGTCAGAGTGAGTGTTGCAATAAACAATGGCAGAGCTGACTAAAGCCAAGCTTGACTGATCTTGCTCACAGAACAATCCCTTTTCTTCCAATCCTAAGTGTAAAGCATTATTCTCTTGTTTCCCGTGGGAGGATCTTAAAGACCTTAACAAAGGTTTCGCTTTCTGAGGCTTAAAGCCTGTCATGTTTTTAACAGACAGGAAGACTGAAGCAGCACAGGTAACAGACAAATTTTCAGGAAAGCTGGTCTGAGTGTGATGTGAGGGCCCTCCATAACAAACCGATAGATCCTGGGTAGGAAGGCTCTCTCTAATGTATCCCCCAGTAGGAATTTTACCAGGCACAAAGAATAGTTCTCACTGGGCCCCAGAAGCCTGTGGTGAGGGTAGAAGACCTGAGATGTGAGAGAAAATGGGAGCTAGCCCCTGTGAGTTTCAGTCTGGGCTGACTCCAGGCCTGACTCTTATTCAGAGTCACAGTGGAAGATCGTGTCTGTTGGATTTGCCATCTGATGGCTCCTCGTCACTGGCAGCATGAGACATGCTGACCTCCTGTACTCAGAGAACCACAAAGCCTAGAATTATTTTCAAGGCTAGAATCTAAATCTCAACCCAATGCGGCATGTTTGAGAATCTTGAGCAGGTGCCACTTTTCACCAAGATAAGGAAAACTGATTGCCCCCGAGAGGAAGGTGAGCTCCAGATGTGGGTCCCTACGGCAGCATGTCTCTGCAGTGCAGAACGAGATTAAGATCAGCCTTGGCAGGTGCTCGTTATAGTGCGCGCTACAGATTATTTCGTGCAGAGCTTGCTTTTGAGTGAAGCACTTCTTAGAGTGGGTATTAAAATTTAATAGAAACTTCAATTTCCCATTTGAAAAATATAGGTGGCCGGCAAATCTATTCCAGTTTATTTTACTCATTCCTGTTTCAGGTAAACTTTTTTCTTTGCAATTCAAAGCTGATGATAAGCCAATATCGTGCATTTGTTATACTTAAATAATCTTGATGCCAGGAAGGAACTTCTTCTAGGTTACATAGATCTTTGGGGTTACATGGCAAGGTAGATGAGTCTGATTCATTTGTCACCTACTTCGGGCAGAAAATGGTCTTTGGGGAAGGGGAAGGTCACTGGTGGGCTACGGCTATTGTATTTGGGCTTTACAGCCCTCAAAGAGCTTTTCTTTCAGTATTATAGAAAGGAAATGTCAAAACCAGACTTCAGATTAAACGCATCGTTGGACAGACACAGTAAATGACTACTGGGAACCAGCACTCCAGTTATGCTGCCATGGGCATGACTATAATCCAATATTCTTAGAAAGTTTAGACAAAGAGAGCATTATTGGTAAAACAAAACAAAATAACCCCAAACCACCCCACCCCCCAAAATCTCTATAGCCATGGCCCTTTCCTTTCTCATTTTTAGTTGGGAGGAAGAAGAGCTTCCAAAACAAAAGAGCTCTTACCTGGCTCTGCCAACCACCACAGTCTGTGCCCAAGGTTGCATGATCTCTGAGAAAGATCCATAGTCAAAAAATCCACTCAACCACTGACCTTTCTGGGCTACAGAAGGGAAAGAAAGAGAACAAAGAGAGAATAAAGACCATCAATCCATTGAAAATGCACTGGAACTGGTAAATTTAAGGTTGGATTTGGGGGATTGTTTTGGGGAGTTTGTTGTTGTTTTTAACCATATTATAATAGATGCACGCATTAGGCAGCTGAATGTTCATCTGCCTTCAGACATCATCTCCTATTTCATTTGCTAGTCTGCATAAAAAGAATCATTTATCAGCAAAAGCATCATTTATTGTTAAACGATGGGGTTCAGCTAGCAGAGAGTTTGCATGCTTTTAAATAAATAACTTGGCTTTTTTCAAAACTACAAACATTTGTCAAAAGGCAGCCAAGTCATTGAAGTGTTTTCAAAATGTCTATTTCTATTTTAAAATTTAGCTTACAATTTTGTTTGATTCCACTGACTTTTTTTAATGGAAAGCTGAAGACACCAATGATAAGTACTAATGACCAGATGAGGACCCAAATTTGGGGAAAAGAAAAGGGACTTGGCTTCTCTGCTAGAAAAGCAACAAGATACATCCACTTTACTTACAGCTCAAAAAGTATAATCTTTCTACAAGAAAGGGCCATGCCCATATACTCTTGACACATAGCAAAAATATAATGGTTAAGATGCACATACTTAATGTCATTAACCTCCCCTGCACACAGAATTTCCTTCACTGGCAAGACAGGTAACTTTTGACATCTTAGGTTAAGAAAAAAACTTCTGTTCCACAGGTATCCGTGTTTGACCAAGGCCCCATAAAAGCTTCTGCAAATAACTGTTTCCTAGCTTGCCCCTCAGCTCACGGTTTCCCAGTGATCCTTCTAATTTGAACATGGCCCTCCGCCCCCTAAAAACCCAAGTCCAAAACCAATTAAAAGTGGAGATCCGAGCAAGCTAACCTCTGCTGACTTAAACAGGATGGAGAGTGTTTTATCAAGACTAAATTTGTAATTACTGTGTTCTACATTCCTTGCCTCTATGGCCCCAGTGTAAAATGTGATCATCCATTTCAAAATTATCTCTCTATCGTGAGCCCAAAGCCGATCGTTTAGATTCTGGTCTCGTGTTGGGCGTCAGTTTGAAGAATATCACAGCACTATCTCCTCTAATAAATGACTTTAACTTTTCACCTAGAAGATATCTGCTTTAACTTATCACAGGGAATCATCTGCTTTCTTTAACGCTTCCACTAAATTAAAATCTGAAGTCACTCGATTTGGGAGCGAGTGTTAGCTGCACATAGACAGCAGGATGAATTACTAGGGAGTCGATGAAAAAATATTATCCAAAAAACAGAAAACTTAGTTTATCACAAATTTCATTTTATTCTGTGGGTCGCATTAATAATAGCCAGGATAATGCCCACTTACATACACACACATCTGTTCACCCCATGAAAGAGGGCTCAAATTTTGATGAAGGTTCTAAATCAAACTTCTAAGTGCATCAGGATACTGAAATTTTAACCTCATATGCTTGGATCATTTTAGGATTCTTACTTCAGTAACAATGATTTGGAACAACAGAATTCATCAAAATGGAAAGACTTTCTTCTTTAAAAACCCTCCTGGCTATGTATGTTGATTGGGGGAGGGGACTCACTGGTGGGCTATGGCTAGTGTAGGTAGGCTTCACCCCCCAACCCCCCAAAGAGCAGGCTGTGTTCAGTTCAGATGCAGAACTTAGAAGCCAGCTAAGATGCAACCCCCTCCTCCCCACATGATTCCCAGGAGGACTCACGGAGTCTTGTTCTGAATTCTCCCAGAAAAGTCCTGGATTTTTAAGGCTGACAGCTTAGGTTCATAGTTCTTATCATAATCATGGCATACAAATGAGAGGTAGGGAGATTACTATGGTGATTTTTCTGGCTATGTAAGAAAAACTAGTTTTATTAAGAGCAACAAGAAAAGGCATTGAAGACAACAGGTAAAATTTTATTTATTTTTATTTTTTAATTTTTTTTTAAAGATTTTATTTATTTATTTGAGAGAGAGACTGAGAGAGAGAGAGCATGAGAGGGGGGAGGGTCGGGAGGGTCAGAGGGAGAAGCAGACTCCCTGCCGAGCAGGGAGCCCGATGTGGGACTCGATCCAGGGACTCCAGGATCATGACCTGAGCCGAAGGCAGTCGCTTAATCAACTGAACCATCCAGGCGCCCGACAAAAGGTAAAATTTTAAATTAAAATTCCTCTGGTGATTTTTCTATACAATCTATAGTTGGGCTGCAGATTTAGCCCTAATTCCTAAGTAATAGCTGTGTGACCTTGCACAAATCACTTAACTTCTCTGAGCTTGTAAAGTGGTAATTTCTTTTCATCTCTGAGAAGTAGTAAGCCCAAATAAGATAATGTATATGGAAGTGCTTTGCTGTCCCACCTCGCTCAGAGTGGGTACTGACAAAGGTTTAAGTCTTCCTTATGCAGACCTCTTTTTTCTTTTAACAAAACCACAGTGACTTAAATTTAATGAATTATCTTCTGCACTCGCTTTCTTTGAAATAGTTACAATAAACATGCAAAAAAGAACAAACATCTTCTCAAACAACCTGAAAAAAAATAGATTCAAAAGGTAGCTGGGGGATTTGGGGCTTCACAAAAGAACCGCCTGATAAGTAAGGTTTGTTAAAACAGCCTAATGGACTGACAAACAAGAATGTACATTCAACCTTACCTGGAGCCACCACTTTTTTTCTGTTTTGTTTTTGTTTTAAAGATAGGTAAAATCAGCCATAAGACAGAGGGATATATTAGATAAGTATGGGGTGAGGTTTTGTTCTCACTTGATATATTTATAAAATTAAAGAGTGCTGGACAATCTCTTCATGAATAATGATCTTACAAAGTAACCTTACATTAATAACTAAAGCAAGTACCAGTACTTTTACCAATATCATAAGAAATGAAGGGTACAATGAAGGGTGGATGCTCAGAAATAGCTTGACGAGAAGAGTGTAGTCACGTTCCACACTAAAGGGTCAAATATCTTTTCTAAAACTGATCTGACTGATCTCTGTTTACAGAGACTGGATGGTCAAAGATTCTATGACTTTATTGCTTAGATTTAACTGTTCTGAAGTCTTTGAACCCATTAAGTAATAAGTGCTTTAAGAACAGAATTAACAGAAGAAATGTATTAGTGACTGCCCTGCGTATGCCTCAGTGACTGACTTATACATCTAATTTCATTCGGTTCTCATTTGTTCTTGAAGGATTTTCCACCTTGATCTTCAGAGAGCTGTTTTAAAGATTTGTCTCATTTCCACAGTTACTTTAATAGCTCTGTTATGCCACATACTATTGTGCAGGAATTGGGTAGTGATTAAAAGGAAGACTGACAGCCTGAGGGCCAGGGTACTACCGGACCCTCAAATATATACCTACTTGGGTGAGGTCGGCCGGCTAGCATCCATCGAGGATCATATGGGGCCTTCGTGGGAACAAACTCGATGATTCTATCTATAGGATCCTTGGAGTTCAGGAGAGGAACTGAACTGCGCACATTCTAAAAGGTGGTTGGGAGGAAAGAGCACAGCAATCAGTGAACAGCAGGCCCATTATCCCGACTCAGCCACGATCGTTACAAAGACAGTAGGGACCAAATACAGAATCATACCCATCTGTCCCAGTCATCAGCTACAGGCATCCTGACTGTATGCCAAGCCCTGAGAACATGCACAGATCTCAAGTCTCATGTAGGAGCCTGGCAAAAAGAGGTACATTCTGACTCTTGATTTCCGTGTACCCACACTTTATGGGAAGCTTCCTGGGGGGATAGATGGCTATTACGAAAGAGAAAACCCACAGTGACCTGAGCCCAGATAGGCCATGAAGGCTTCTGTGACTGGGGAAAACATCAGAAAGGGGCCTAACCAATGAAATCCAAAGGCATTTTAAAGGTAGAAGTCCAAAGATGGCTGCAAGAAAAAGAGAAACCAATAACTTCCAGAGGAATATTTCATAAAACAGCTTCTCCACCATAAAGAGGAGACCTCAAACACAGAGGCCGTGTGAGCTGTGGTGGGAAGGCCGGGTTCTGTGGGCTTTGTCTGCTGGGTGAGAAGGGCTCACCTTAGGCATGTAAGACAGCCAGTGCAGGACAGTGAAAACCCCTTCAAAGTCATCGCAAACGATGCTGTGGGTCACCCCATTGTTGTGCATGATCTGGATGCCCCCAAGCTGGTTATTGGAGGTATATACCTCCCGCCCAAGGACCTGGAGAAACAAGCAGGAGAAAAGACATTTGTCTTGACAGAAATAAAGGCAAAGTCTATTTTGTGATTCTCACTAAAATGGGTTCTTTTCTCCACCAGATTCCAGCCTCTGTGGGTTGTTCAGAGGGACTCTCTGGACCTTTGTCTTAAAAAGAAAGCTGAGAGAATCAAAAAGGCTTTTTGTGAACAATCATATATACCACTGCAATTTAAAAACCAGCAAAAGCATCTCCCTCTCTCTCCTAGCTGCCACAGACAGGTGTTAGCATGCTTCGACTCAGCCAGAACCAGCGGGGGGGGGGCGGGGGAGGTTTGAGGCTGTGACCCGGAAGTGCAGGCTACGCCTGCGTCTGCAGGCGAGTGGACTGCTGCATATGTACACAAAGAGGTAACATGCCTGTCTTTTGACAATCTTTAGTGACAAGTCTCACTTAAATGCTGTGAGGTTTGGGTCCCTAATTTTTTTTTAAAGATTACTTTTCCCCTTACATTTGATTTTTCAAGCTGGTCCCCACACACAAGTCCTAAGGCGGGCAAAATCCTGAAGCAACTCATACATACATAAACCCTTGAGTCTCAATTTGTCTTTGTGTGCTGGGTGGAGGGCAGTGATTTATACCCAAGCCCACCTCTCCTGTGTCCTTCTCTCCCAAGGTTCCAGGGAATAGAGGGCCTCTATCCCTGGTGTGTCCCTGGAGGAGTTTAACCCGTGTGAGGTTGAAAGGCACCTGCAATTGGAAACCACGAAGTTTCCTTTAAAGACGGACAAAAAATAGGAAGGAAAAAATATTTGTAGACTTGGAAATTGTAGGGTTTCTTTTTCCTTAGAAGACTAGTTAATAATTTCTTTCAGGGAGGGAAGTTTTCTAACCCAGCAATGGAAGCCAGACAGCCTGATCACTGACTATTGCAAACTGCTGAGTGTGTAGTAATTGCCAGTCATCTAGGGTAGCCCTGGAGAGCTCTGAACAGTTGTAGAGCACTTACTGTGTTTTGCCTTTTCTCTTCTCTCTCCCCTCCTCCTTCAGAAAATAACCACAACACAAATTTGCTTCCTTAGTAACTTTCATTCATTTTCAGTCTCTGGGAAGAACCTAATAAAGGGAAGGCCAGCAAGTTCTACCTGTATATTCCCATCTTGCCCCTTCCTGTTAGGAGCATTGAGATATTCGCCTCCATGCTGGGTCAGCCCCCACATCAAGTCCCTGCAAAGGACGAGGAAGTTGGCGACCAAAGTCATCACCTCAGTGTGACCCAGCTGGTCTTCGCTCCACATAACTTCAGCTAGGAAGGGAGGAAGAGATTCTTCTGAAAGAAATATGGAAAGCAAAACTGCCTTCCTTGGTGAGGAAGTGCAGAGAACCAGTCTTTGCAGACAGCCCTGAGCTGAGCGACAAGCCGGCAACTGCTCTGAAGGAGCCCCAAGCACAGGGGAGACTGTATGTGACCACTGGGCTCCCCCTCCTCCTCTCAGTTTGTCTTTAATCTCAGCCCAGGCACTGTGGCTCCTTTCTCATTCTCCTGCTGTCTCTTTCCATTTGCCCTCTCTCTGACTGATACACTGATCTCTCGGTCACTCGGCTTTCTGCTCCACTGAGTCCATATTACTAATAACACCTCCGCCACGGCCAGTTTACCTCATGAAGGCAGGAGCACATCATTACAAAATAAACTCATAACTTTGACATTCTAGCAAATACACGCCGTTTGTTATTTTGATGGCTTTAGTCTTTCTAACAGGCAGAGGGCATTACATACCTGTTTCATTTATATCTTTAAATGTGTGCACACATGTATAGTCACACATGCATCAGGAAACAAAACAGAACAGAAAACCAACCCCAAACAAATATCCAAAGCAGTCAGTTGATGGGGGACCCTGGTGGAAGCAAAAACCCTCACTCAGGGAGTGCCGCGCTCTGATCTGGCTCTGGTTTTATGGACGTCATAAACCCGATGGCCCACAACTGGTCCTTCTGGGACAGACAGCCTCTCTGCCAGAAGTCATTCAGTGTGATCAGCAGTATTTTTAATTATTAAAATAAAATTGGAAAGGGGGAAAAGAAATAAAAAGGAGACACTGCACTGACCCTGAATATCTGATATTCACACTCTATGTCAGGAGCCAGGAACTCCTAGTTGCCTGGAAGAGAGCTGGGGCCATTTCCTACTCAGAAAGATGGTTTTCTTTCCTAGGAAACACTATTTCTAGTACTTGATAATGTCCACCTGCTTAGAACCTCACACCCCGCCCCCCTCCAAAATGAGTGATGGATTGAAGGACCAATCTTGGCAAAAGGGACCAAAGCGGACCAAGAGCTGCTCAGCTGTTCAAATACATACTCCCCACACAACTTGGTCTCTCATTTCAAAAGGGACGAGCATCCAGGACCGGGGCTACTCGCGGAGGCTCTGCCACTTGCCCATTCCACCCCATATTCTTATAAATTAATGGGGGACAAACTTGGAGGGAGCAAGAGTTTAATCACCTAGCACATCTTCCCTTTACAAGCAAAACTCAGTTTCTGACACTTTGGCATTGTTCTGAAAAGGCAGTATTTGTACACTGGATTCAGAAAGAAACCTAACCAGGGCTTACCACAACCAAGGACACTATTTCTGGACTAAAGAAATGTTTGTCATGTGAGAAAATGCATTTACTTTGGGAATTAAAGGGAAAAATGACAGGCTAGACTAACAGAGTCTCCAAATGGCTCTCTGACTGGCCTTATCTTAGGGGGTGGGGGTGGGGAGGGAAGGACACGCAGAAATGAAACCTGCTTCACTAATCACAAACAAATGCTAACAATCATAGCTACTTTACAATCGGTAAAGAGAAGGCAGTACCCTCCAGTTCATCTTCAATGACCGTATGTTTGGAGCATGCACCAGTAGAATGAGGGTGCACACAATAGCTCCTGATTTATAGGGGTCGTTGCTGACTCAAGTGGTTTTAATGATTTTAGAATACTTCACAACAAAAGCTCCAACCAAAGAAGCAGAATCTGGGCTAGGACAAAATCCATTTTGCCTAACTCTGAAATGATCATGCTGGAATAGTTACGCAAACCCTGATCAGCATCTAGGAAGGCAAAGAAAAGAGCCCACATAGACGGTACCATGGCTTTATTCTTCGGTGTTGCCCTACCAACGTTTCACAGAAAAATGTGGGGTAAACGATCCTCACTGACTTAGTATTTTCATGAAGTAGGTGAGCTTTATTCATCAGTTTTTCAACTGTGACATACACATAGCTATACAAATCGAGCTGCTGACCATTTTCCATTTTCCCAAATTACTTTTCTCACATTTTCTACTGCGTGATGCAAACTTTTAATTCATCTTCCCAACAAGCATCGGGAACCATATTTAAACACAGGAGCCAGGTTTAGGTGGAGAAGCAGTACCATAAAATATTAGGAACAGGCACCACCTCAGGGTCCTCCACTGAGGAGTGCCCACGCCCACAGAACTGAATAAGGGCTGATTCTGAGGGGAAAGAGGATCTTCCCCCACTCAGTATAAACCTAAGCCTCATCCAGCTCTTCATTCATTGCAGGTGGCAGACCTGGGAATTAAGGGCACCACATAAAAGCCACTGATTAGCAGAGACAGTTGTTAAAGGCTCCACTGAAGATGCTACGCAGCCGTTAGAAATTTTGAGATACATAAGAAGTACAAATGAATGCAGTCATACATACATGCTAAGGCCTCTGCTGCTGCTGCTTATCTAGAGACACTGCAGACAGCTCAGGTTTACCATAGCTGACAGGCAATGAAAACAGTCTAATATACCGCCTGCTCTCTCCCTTAAATCCCTTTTTGGAGATCAAGATAAACACGTTCTTCCTTTCCCCAGTGCTCCAGACGTTTGACTGAAGTGGCAGAGCATTGTGAGGTTTTGTGCAAATGTAATCACTATGTAATACTGAATGAGTAGATTATTTACTTGTCAGGATATTTGTCAGCACAGGCATTGAGATTTCCAAGTTTCATAGAGGCAACTTAGCTCAATTTTTTTAAAAACTGCCTTTGTCCTGATATACACATTATGTTGGGGGCCTTTAGACTTACAGGCAAATATTTGCAATCATGTGCTGAAGATATGAAAAATAATGATGCATATCGATGGAATAAAAAATGAAATCTGCTGCTTTCCCCCCTTTAGCCACTCTTTCCCCCTTTAAACAATTCTTGGGTCAGGGCAATCCTCTATTTAAAGAAGCAAGAAGTATAAAATTCCTCTTGCATCTAAGAATTTAGGCTATACAAACTGAGTCGTTGCTGCAATCCTCCCTCTCATTAGGATATTTCCATCCTCAAGAGGATGTGAGGAGGGGTTTTGTACATTTCCCAAGCAATTATCATTGCTGGACTTCGTTCACGATTCTACACATTAAAGTCACTGTGGGATCTGTCAGGTTATTGATAAAGGTTTGGCTAAGGCAGAAGGAGAGACAGATATGGACAAAAAAACAAGTGGGAGCAGGAAAAAAGTGGTAAAATAGGGACAAAAGAAAGGAGGAAGAACGAGAGAGGAAATGGGAGGGGGGAGAAAAGAGGAAGGGAAAGAAAGAAACGCAATAGCTCATCTACTCCTGCTGCTGACACTCTCCTCCCTGATCTGAGAGGACTACATTTTTAAAAGCTGACAAGTAATTCAATCTCCAATTAACAATTTTAAGTGGTGCAGCACATATTCCTGTGTAAATGTTTCTCCAGGAATGTATCCAAGGGTGAATGGAATTAAATCTCTAGGCAGAACCGGTGCATGCAACCAAGAATATTTGGGGGTTCCCAAAACACAGCCTCTTGATACACAGACTCAGGGTTACAACTTCCTCTCCCCTCTTCATTGCCACTTGTCACTAGCAAACTGGAGTGCTGGTTGGCAGCTGGTAGTCTAGGGTTGGGGGGTAGAGAAGGGGCACAGTGACCTACTGCTGGCACAGGATGGGAAAGCCTCTGACCTGAGCCACAACTGGACTCAGGACCATCCAC